TTGACACTATAATGTATTTCCACAAGTTTTAAGTTTACAGCTTTATAGATACAGTTTTCCATTTAGGAGGCCAGATATAATTTCTTTTTATATGAAAACAAATGAAAGGTTTTAAGAGGATATAGGCTGTAAATCAGGTACAATGTAGTCAACACCCTACAAAGACCTTGAAAAGATCAAGAAAAAGATGTTTAATATTATTGCTTAGTCTTATAAAATGGTGAATTTTAACTAAATTGATAACTATATTCTTATTTACAATGCCTCCTATACTTTCAAGTATGTTATTCATGTAATTTTTTAATTCACCTAGTTGCGAATTAATTCTAATTTTAATCAATACATATATTCCCCTTTAACTACTTATACTATCGTAGAATCTTTCTGGAAAACGTTAACTGTCCCAAATGGAAAAAAAAAAAAAAAAAGAATGCAGAGCTTTTTCTTCTCCCTTCAAGATTTTCAAGTATTGTAGGAAAAAAAAATCCATGGAAAAATTACCAAAAATTTGACATTTTATCTTAAGAATCATGGGATAAAAGAAAGAGATGTGAACAAAAACAAATGTTCTTTAATATTTCTTTGCTTGTAGTAAGAAATACTGTAACTATGTTTATGAGCTGTTTTCTAGCTTCTTCAAGAATAGGGCATACCTGTAACTGAAGAGAAATAAACAATTAACCTCATGTTACTCAAAAAAATGGAGGGCACAGAAAGATAATCAGACTTTGGTTTTTAAGAACCTACTGTTGACCCTGAAATGCCAGACTTCAACAACAAAACATTACAGCAGCAAATCACCACTTCAGCACACATTATTAGGAATTCTGAAATAAGTTGACTTATTTTTCCCCCTTCTTCTCCCCGCCCCCCGACTCAGTCTATAATATCTTCCTTTTGCTTTTCTGGGTTTTTAGCTGCAGGTAGCTCAAGGCTTGCCCATTGCACAGGTTCAGCTTTTCTCATGGTAATCTCAGTCTTTGTTGCAGTCATAGTTACATAGCTTCGCTTGACATCAATCACACCCCTTAACTTCACATTGTGATGAAATTATTTCTCTCCTTCAAATACAGTGAGCACATTTAACAATGTACTGTTTGCTGCTACTCGACTAAGTTCTGGAAGTGAATTTTTAGCATATATTGAAATGGTGACTTCACCTCCTGTCTGATGCCAGTCATGCCTACAAGGAACAATTTTTTGCCCAGTATCCTTTTTGGTCCACACATGTTTCCCTGTTGTACAGCCCTCTTGAGCTAAAAATGTATTAAAATCAGAAGTTTTTCTTCTACAACAGCTCCAGTATTTCATCCCTTCTTGGAAAATAGGTACTCCAGAATGATATACACAGATTTCTTCTACACTCTCTAGACCCTGGTATGTCTTTGAACATCATCCGTTTTTACATGTGGTCCCAATCTTAATTTCATCACTTTCTTCTTCTTTCTTATCTTCTTCATTCCCTGATGACAGTTTAAGTTTATCAAGTGCTTGTTTGAGGGAGGCAGATATTTTTATTTCCAAGTTTGTCATTGGCTCATCTGGGCTTGGCCTTTTTATTGCTTCTATAGGTTTAGGGACTTGAATAATGTGCTCCTGAAATTTGGGTTTCAATTTAGATAGTTCTTTCTTCTCTGTAGTCTTGACTTCAGGTTTGACTGGCTCTGGTGGCTTTTCACTATTATGCCTACCCTTTGTACAGCCTACAACGCTTAAGAAATCAGTAAAATCAGTTGTTCTTCTCTTACAGGAAGACCAACCCTTTAACGCATCATGAAAGACTGGAACACCTGGGTGGTATATGCAAGCATCATCGGAATTGGTCTCAGAATCGAAGCGTTGGCCGCAACCCCGGTTGTAGCACAGCAGAGCCATTATCTTTTCCCACCACTACAGGCAAGGTTTGGACGCCACCAACCACAGAAGGGTGCCTTTGTAACTGCCCTGTCATAGGCACCTGTCTGATCAAAAGTGTGTTTCAAGGAAGAGACAGGCAACAATGTAACACGATGCTGAGAAGTGAAATAATATATGAACTGAAAAGGAACTACAGGCATATCTCGTTTTTTTTAGCTTCACTTCATTGTAGTTTGCAGATATTGTGTTTTTCACAGATTGAAGGTTTGCGGCAACTTTGCATCAAGCAAGTCTATCAATGCCATTTTTCCAACAGCGTGTGCTCACTTTGTGTCTCTTGTTCACATGTCAGTAATTCTCACAATATTTCAAACTTTTACATAATGCTATCACACACTTAATAGACTGTTGTTGTTGTTATGTGCCGTCGAGTCAGACCCGACTCATAGCGACCCCTCCTTGGGTTTCTGAGGCAGTATCACTATGGAAGTAGATTGCCCTATCTTCCTTCCGAGGAGTGGCTGGTGGGTTTGAACCACCAGCCTTCTGGTTAGCAGTCAAGTGCCTTAGGCACTACACTACCAGAGCTCCTTAATAGACTGTAGTATAGTATAAACATAACTTTCATATGCACAGGGAAACCAAAAATATTGTGTTACTCTCTTTATTGAGATATTCATTTTATTGTAGTGTTATGGAACCAAATCTGCAATATCTCTGAGGTATCCTGAACTACATTGATCAACATGGAGAGATCTCATTTAGTAGTATAATGGTGGTAGAAGCAAGCCAGAATAGAATTAGTTAAGGTTTAAATGGAATATGACAAAATTGAGACAGCAATTATGAATAATAATTCTCTCAAAACTTTGTGATGGGAAGGACAAGGTTAGGACAGTAGCTGGTTGCCAGTATTATGGGAAAGTATATACGTGTAAACACAGGCACACAGGCATTTTAATTAAATCTTTTATTTTGAGATAGCTGTAAATTCACGTGCAGCTGTAAGAAACAATAGGAAGTTGTCCCATGTATCCTTTACACATGTTCCTCCACTGGTAACATTTTGGAAAACTGTATTACACTAACACAACCAGGATATTGACATGGATACAATCAAAATATAAAGGAATTCTCTCACCACAATAGTCACCCTTGCTACTCTTTTGTAGCCACACCCATTTATTTCCTCATTTCTGATCTCTGACAACTGCTAAACTCTTCTCCATTTCTAAAATTTTCTCATTTTAATAATGGTATATAATTGGAATTATACATTCTTTAACTGTTGCTATTGATTTTTTTTTTTCTTCACTTAACATAATTCCCTGGAGATTCATCCAAATCATCATGTTTATCAGGAGGTTTTCTTTTGTTGCTGTTTTGTTTTGTTTTTGTTTTCTGTTGTCTTGTTTTATAGAATCAAGGACATCTTAGCTGTTTGTTCTTCGTTTTTTTTTTTTTTTTTTGCTATTACAAATAGAGCTACTATGCACACTCATCTTCAGGTTTTTGTGTGAATATGAATTTTCATTCTCTAAAATAAATTACCAGTAGTTGGAAAATATGGCTTTGGTGATAGAAATAACGCTGGAGATTGCATGACAGAATTTTGCAAGACCAACTATTTATTCATTGCAAATACCTTTTTTCAACAACACAAATGATGGCTATACATGTGGAATTCCCTAGATGGAGTACACAGGAATCAGATCAACTACATCTGTGGAAAGAGACAATGGAGAAGCTCAATATATTCAGCCAAAACAAGGCCAGGAGGTGATTGTGGAACAGACCCTCAACTGCTCATATGCAAGCTCAAGTTGAAGTTGAAGACAATTAACAAAAGTCCATGAAGACCAAAATATGACCTTGAGTATATTCCTCCTGAATTTAGAGACCATTGTTCATTGCTCTTTAATGTAGCATATTATTCCTTTGTAAGAATGTACCAAAATTTGTTCATCCATTAATCTGTTGATGGGCATTTAGGTTGTTTCCATCTCTTTATTATAGTGAATTGTACTGTGATGAACATGGGTGTGCATATGTCTGTTCATGTCCTGTCTCTCACCTCTTCAGGATATTTTCCTAGTAATAGAATTGCTGCATCAAATAATATTTCTATTTTCAGTTTTTTTTTAAGTAAATGCTATACCATTTATCACAATGGTTGCACCATTTTACAGTCCCAGCAGCAGTGGATGAGAGTTCCAATCTCTCCACAACCTGTCGAGGATTTATTTTCTGTCCTGTTGAACTTTGCTATTATTGTTGCGGTGAGATGATGGATATCTCATCATTTTGATTTGCATCTCTCTAATGGCTAATGATCATGAGCAATTCCTCATGTGTTTGTTGGCCACCAACATATTGTCATCAGTGAAGTTTCTGTTCATGTCCCTTGCCTATTTTTGATTTGGAATGTTTGTCTTCTTGGTGTTGAGGTGTTGAAGTTTTCCATAAATTTTGGAGATAAGTCCTTTGTCAGATATGTCATAGGCAAATATTTTCTCCCAATCTGTATGTTCTATTTTTACCCTTTGGAGAAGCCTTTTGATACAAATGTTGTTGTTGATGATGTTGCTATGTGCCTTAGAGTCATACCTAACTCATAGTGACCTCACCTTGGTTTCTGAGGCAGTATCACTATGCAAATAGATTGCCCAACCTTCCTTTGGAGGAATGGCTGGTGGGTTCGAACTGCCAGATTTCTGGTTAGCAGTCAAGTGTCTTAGACACTATGCTACCATAAAAACCTTAATTTTTGAAAGGACCCAATCATCTAGCTTCTCTTCCACCTCCTGTGCATTCTGGGTTATGCTTGATGGTGTATTTATGCCATTAATTAGGATCCATTGAATTTCCCCTATTTTATCTTTGATGAGCTTTATATTTTTGGGTTTTACATTTAAGTCTTTGATCCAACTTGAGTTTGTTTTTGTGTATGGGGTGAGGTATGGGTTGTGTTTCATTTTTTTTGCAAATGGATATCCAATTTTACCAGTACCATTTGTTAAAGAGGCTATCTCTTCTCCATCTAATAGGTTTTGGTCCTTTGTCAAAGATCAGCTGTCCATAGATGGATGGATTTATTTCTTT